GCAGGGGAAAGGAGAGAGAGAGAGAGAGAGAGAGAGATTATTTCTTTAGATCTATTTCCTGAATCACTTTGTATAATTTACACATGCCCCGAAGACTCTTCTGAATGAGTAAGGCAGGCCTGCCAGGAGCCTTCAGGAAGAGAATATTTCATGAGAAAAGGGAAACAAAACCTTAGTCCTTAGATTTAGAGCAAAAACTCCGACTACAGCATGCTATCTTTTTCTCAACCTTTTATCAGAGTCCCACCCCCAAAATGGACTCATCATGTCTGACTCCTATGGAGAGGAGGGATTGTGGCACTGAAAAACCAAAAGGGGCTGTTTTGCTAACAACAAGTATTCCTAGGACAATCCCACCTGTGTTAAGTGTCATTATAAAGGAGACTGAGGCTTCAGAAAACAGAGTGGGGAGTTCAACCCACTGGGGACTCCAGTGGGGATTTGGCACTCAGCTCCAGTGCCCCATCGGCAGTGGGGCCAGCAGAGAGCAAAGAGCCCAGCAGACGTGGCAGGACCCAAGGGAGACAGAGGTGGAGCTCACCAGCACAGGACTGGCATGGAAACTCCCACCTCCCTGCCTGTTGGACTTGTTCTGGATCAGGGGTTGAGTCATGCCAGGGCCCTCCCTCAAATCACTATGTTCCGTGGTGGGTTGGGGTCCTACACAGGTGGGAACATGAGCCCACCAAGCACAACTCCTTTCTTCTCCACAGCTGCCCGCTGAGGCAAATGTTTTCCCCATGAAAAGACCAGGTCTTAAGCAAGTGTGTCTGTAATAATTGCCAGTTTTATTCCTCTGGCTAAAAGATCCAGAGGTGATTTAAAGTTTATATTCCTAGCTCTGTTATAAGAGTTTATTAAGTCTTTCACTGCCTTTCAAATGCCATTTACAAGTACTTTAGCTGTGTCTGTTTATTTTAGCTATTTGTGACACAAATAATACACACATATATATGTATTCATTTTTTTTGGAAAATGAGAAGATACAGAAAAAAAGAAATGAAGTACAGTTCACACAGAGAGTCACTATTAATGTTTTGGTGTATAATAATTCAGACTTTTTGCATTATAGTGCATATAAATGGTCATTATATGTGTGCATATATATGTGTGTATATATAATGTTTTGCAATGTATTTATTTCCACTTTACAATATTCAATGAGCATCTTCTCATGCAAATGAATGAAACATCCTATTAAATGAATGAGATTGGGTCAAAAGATGAGATGTTGGTAACAAGAGTCATATGTAAATCAAAGGAATATTGAAGAATTGGAGTAAAATGATAGCAAATATTTAGCATGAAAATCCACACCAAAAGAACCCAGCGGTAGCTATATTAATAGCAGAAAATAACTGAATTCAGGGGGAAAATGCATCAAATGTGATAAGGACGGTCTCAGGAATGCCGATGGTTAGAATGCAGAGCCCTAAACTCTTTTCTCAGACCCCTTATCTCTTCCAAACACCTTTCCATCTCATCTCCCTCTCTTGTCATTTCTTCATTATTAAAATGCTTGTAATCTATGTCCTCTTTAAATTCCTTGAGAGACTGAAGCAGTCTTTGCCTGAAATTCCCTTCAGTTTGCTGGCGTTCACATTCTCCATAGGGGCATTCTTCTCTCTTTGGCATGGGGCTCTTGGCTTTCCCTTCATTTTCTTTGCAGGGTTTTTGCATGATGTAGTTGTTTCCTGCTTAAGTCTAGGGAGAAAATGTAGAGTAAAATTGCTTGTCAATTTCTCTTTGAAGCAAGATGCTCACCTAATTCCCCACCTCTGCCAAACAGGTCGAGCCCTCAGAAGTTTGAGATTCCACCCCTTCCCAAACCTCCCCCCTTCTCTACTTTCCCCTCCCTCAGCAACCCACCATTTATCCAGCAGACAAGGCTAATGGCAGACCAAGAGTGAGCTGTGAGCCTGCAAATTTTAACAGCTCTCTACCTTCCCAACACCCACCCTCAGAGACCCAGGTGTAGTATTTCCCTCTCTCTGACCTGTGAGAAATAGGGATAGTTTCTTCCTCTTTTTCTTGCCTGGAGATATCTGTGAACCCAGATCCTGGAACCTGCAGACAGAAAGGAAGGGGGAGGGGAAGGGAGAGTTCTCTGGGGGATTCACCAGCCCCAACGGTAAGAGGAACGTTATTATTTGGAATCCAGGACCCTCATAACCATCGTTGCCCAACATTTCCTACCTCCTGGCTCCCCTCCTGTCCCTATCCCTTCCTCCTGGATCTCTGTCTCCACTCCCAACCCCCTAACCCTTGGGCCTAGTCCTTGCAAGGCCCACTGTTCCCTCCCTCCCCACCCTCTCAGGCTGGCGTTGAATGAGACGAATTATTTTATATCTATCTCTAAATTTCTCTGTCTGCACCCCAGAATTCCAGCTGTTCTCCACACACCAGCCCACACCTCGTTTCCTTCAACAGAATTGGAAAGAGAAGGATATGGATAAAGAGAAAGCTTACCAATCTGAGAGAAGCTGATTATTTCTAAACTGTCATTGAATCTCCGAGTGTCTTTCAGGAGACTTCCACCTACTTCAGCCTCTCCTCCTACCCCCTTTCAAAAAATACAATTATCTCCAATGAGACTGCAGAGATTTGGGGAAAGCCATTAGATTCAGCCATTACCACCCCAGGGGGACCAACAGTTCCCTCACACCAACCTGCTGGGATTTAAGGAATTCATGTCCTCCTTCTCTAGGCCACAAGCACCAATGCCTGCAGGGCAGTAAGGAGCTGGTACCCAGAGGAGAAAGAAACCTGAGAATATAGGAACTTCACGTCAGCTCTTGGTCACGTGAGTATTATGTCATCCTCCAACTCTGGTCCCCATTTTCCTCTCCCACCAGCTGTGCTGCAGAAGTGGAATGGCTAATCAACTTCCCACCCCCCACCACACTCGGCCCTGTCACTCATTTTTGTCATTGTTAAAGCCAGAAGTCAAAAGTGGCCCCTTCTTTCTGTGGATAAAATTTATCTTTCTCTGATTACCAGAGAAGGGCTGCATCTTCCCATAGTCATATTAACCATTGTTACTTTTTTAGTGGCTGTGTTGACAGAGAGGATTAGTCATTCTCTTCTAAGCCACAGGAACAGAAAGGTAACAGTCTTCCCCCCACCCTACCACCCACCAGTCAGTAATAGTCACCATTTCCTTTGCAGTTCAATTCTTGAAACTATGGACAAAAAGGGGCCATGTGCTAACCTGACAAGTTCAGGAGAGTCCTGCATGTCGGCCTTACAAACTCAGAGACCTAAAGTAACCACATACAATGGTCTGATATTAAAACTTTTAAACTAAAAGTGGCTCATGGTAGGTAGTCACGTTCTAAGACAGTATTTTTCCCTAACAAAGGTCAATCTTCATCTTAACTAAGCCTGTCTGTTGTCTTTTTGCATCTAGGATAACATACCTGAAAACTTGCCTTTGCAATAACAAAGTAATTTACTTCCCCACCCCTCATCCCTCAAAGCACAGGCATTGCACCAGAGCAGACTGCAAATCATGTTAATTGTTGACTGTTAACTATCCTGTAGTCACCTATGTAAAAGAAGCATATATCATTTTACTTTTTATCCAATCCCAGAGGTTTCCCCTCTTTGCCTTCTCCCACCTCCCTAATCTATCACCAATGAATTTCATGTAACCCATTTATGTCTTCTCTTTTGATTGTAATATATAAAATAAGATGCAAAACTGCCACTTTCTGGAGCACTTTCTCAAATCTGTTGAGATTTTGCTTCCTTGAAATTGTCAGTTTGGCTCAAATAAACTCACAAAAATTCTCTACATGTTTGAATATTTCTTACATTGACAAAACAAAATTGGAGCAGGTAGGGTAAATTGAAAAAGTCAATGATTGGGATTTTGTTTTTTACCTTTGTTCTGATAATTTCTTATCCTTTTCTATAAATTTATTGTATTTTTTAATAATCAGAAATATAACAACAATCAGAAATAGAATCCAAATATGCACATTTGGAAAAAAGATTCAAAATAGGAAGATAAAAAGACCCAGCCACCTGTTTCTGTTGCTGAGTCATAAGATAAATATAAACCCTCCAGGCAGACACATTTTTTGAAGTTTAAAATGTACAGGGCAGCTGGATAGGCTACCCTTTTGAAGCACTCTTGGATATGTGAAACACTTTCATTAAGTGAGCTCCTGAAGCCATAATTCCACAGTACCTTGCCCTTTGATTTTTTAGATCTCAAAAGTCAGTCATAAAAATTTACTAGTTCAACCTCAGTATCACGTACTCTCTATCCCAGTTTGTACCAAGCCCTTTTATTTCCTTCAATGATGTACTCAAAAAATCCTACCTTTCCTCAACACTCTCATTCAGAATCAAATAGTTTTTCATCTCCATCCTTAGACCTTATTGAGCCACAATGGGTAATTAGAAGCACTAACAAAAACTGGCCACTTTTCAGACACTAATTTTTTTGTTGCTAAGGATTTTGATACTAATATAAGTGTATTTGTTGTTGATTTGTTAGCTTCAAACAGATGCAAAAGTAAGAGGGATGTGTTCTTAAAATTTGTTTTTAGGCCCAGCTGGTGTGGCTCAGTGGTTGAGGGTAGATCTTTGAACCAGGAGGGCATGGTTTGATGAACCAGGAGGATTCCAGGCCCTGGCATTTGCAAGTGTAGGTTTGCTGATTCGGTCCCCAGTGGGGGACATACAGGAGGCAGCAGATCAATGATTCTCATCATTGATGTTTCTATTTCTCTCTCTCCCTCTCCCTTCCTCTCTGAAATCAATAAAAATATATTCAAAACAAGCAAAATACAAACTTGTTTTTAGGAAGTCTGTAGCTAATTATGAATGCAAAGTTGCCACTAACCAGTTTGATGTACTAGTAAATGGTTCCAGAAAATACTTTAAAAGAGAGAAGAGGTCTTAAAAAGAATGAAATATTGTTATCACAGTTATTAAGGAATGGTTAGTTGTGATAGAGGCCAAAGATTTGTTGGTGGGGTGGGGAACTCCTGAATCCTCTGTAAACAGCTTTTCATACAGTTGGTTAGACTTATGGTTTTCAAATGGCTGGAGGGCTACAGGTGCTGAAGATTTTGACATTGTTAGTAAGAAGTATAGCTTCGAACAGATCTGAGTTTGAATTAATTGCATTTACTTACCTATTGTTTAACCTGGGATTTATTTTTTTTCTTTTAATTTTTTTATTGCTTAAAGTATTACAAAGGGTATTACATATGTGTCCTTTTTTTCCCAGCCCTTGACAATCCCCTGGCCTCCCCTACCCCCAGTGTCTTATGTCCCATTGGTTATGCTTATATGCATGCATACAAGTCCTTCGGTTGATCTCTTACCCCCTTCCCTCCTGCCCCCCAACCCTCCCCGGCCTTCCCGCTGCAGTTTGACAATCTGTTTGAGGCAGCTCTGCCTCTGTATCTATTATTGTTCAAAAGTTTATAATGGTCTCTATTATCCATGAATGTGTGAGATCATGTGGTATTTTTCCTTCATTGACTGGCTTATTTCACTTAGCATAATGCTCTCCAGTTCCATCCATGCCATTGCAAATGGTAAGAGTTCCTTCTTTTTTACAGCAGCATAGTATTCCATCGTGTAGATGTACCACAGTTTTCTAATCCATTCATCTACTGATGGGCACTTAGGCTGTTTCCAGATCTTAGCTATGGTGAATTGTGCTGCTATGAACATATGGGTGCACATATCCTTTCTGATTGGTGTTTCTGGTTTCTTGGGATATATTCCTAGAAGTGGGATCACAGGGTCAAATGGGAGTTCCATGTTTTGTTTTTTGAGGAAACTCCATACTGTCTTCCATAGTGGCTGCACCAGTCTGCATTCCCACCAGCAGTGCACGAGTGTTCCTTTTTCTCCACATCCTCTCCAGCACTTGTCGTTTGTTGATTTGTTGATGATAGCCAGTCTGACAGGTGTGAGATGGTACCTCATTGTTGTTTTGATTTGCATCTCTCGGATGATTAGTGACTTTGAGCATGTTTTCATATGTCTCTTGGCTTTCTGAATGTCCTCTTTTGAAAGGTGTCTATTTAGGTCCTTTGCCCATTTTTTGATTGGATTGTTTATCTTCCTTTTGTTAAGTTGTATGAGTTCCCTATAAATTTTGGAGATTAGGCCCTTATCAGATATGACATTGGCAAATATGTTTTCCCACGCAGTGGGTTTTCTCGTTGTTTTGTTGATGGTTTCTTTTGCTGTGCAGAAGCTTTTTATTTTGATGTAGTCCCATTTGTTCATTTTCTCTTTAGTTTCAACTGCCCTAGGAGCTGTATCAGTGAAGAAATTGCTTTGGCATATGTCTGAGATTTTGTTGCCTTTGAATTCTTCTAGAATTTTTATGGTTTCCTGTCGTACATTTAAGTCCTTTATCCATTTTGAGTTTATTTTTGTGTATGGTGTAAGTTGGTGGTCTAGTTTCATTTTCTTGCATATATCTGTCCAATTTTCCCAACACCACTTATTGAAGAGACTATCTTGGCTCCATTGAATGTTCTTTCCTCCTTTGTCAAATATTAATTGAGCATATTGGTTTGGGCCAATTTCTGGGTTCTCTATTCTATTCCATTGATCTATATGCCTGTTCTTGTGCCAGTACCAGGCAGTTTTGAGAACAGTGGCTTTGTAATACATCTTGATATCTGGTATTGAGATCCCACCTATTTTCTTCTTTCTCAGGATTGCTGCAGCTATTCGGGGTCTTTTTTTATTCCAGATGAATTTTTGGAGAGTTCGTTCTAGATCTGTGAAGTATGCCATTGGTATTTTAATGGGAAGTGCGTTGAATTTATAGATTGCTTTGGGTAGTATGGACATTTTAATGATGTTGATTCTACCAATCCATGAACACGGTATGTTCTTCCATCTGTTTATGTCTTCCTCTATCTCTTTTTTCAACGTCCTGTAGTTTTCTGAGTAGAGGTCTTTTACCTCTTTAGTTAAGTTTATTCCTAGGTAGCTTAATTTTTTTGGTGCGATGGTAAATGGGATTGTTTTTATAATCTCTCTTTCTGAAAGTTCACTATTGGTGTATAGAAATGCCTCAGATTTCTTGGGGTTAATTTTGTATCCTGCTACATTGCCAAATTCATGTATTAAGTCTAGTAGCTTTTTGATGGAGTCTCTAGGGTTTTGTATGTATAATATCATGTCGTCTGCAAATAAGGACAGTTTTACTTCCTCTTTTCCAATTTGGATGCCTTTTATTTCTTCTTCTTGCCTAATTGCAATGGCTAATACTTCCAGTACTATGTTGAACAGGAGTGGTGAGAGTGGGCATCCCTGTCTTGTTCCTGTTCTTAGGGGAAATGGTGTTAGTTTTTGTCCATTGAGTATGATGTTGGCTGTGGGCCTGTCATATATGGCTTTTATTATGTTGAGGTATGATCCTTCTACTCCCACCTTGCTGAGAGTTTTTATCAAAAATGGGTGTTGGATTTTGTCAAATGCTTTTTCTGCATCAATTGATATGACCATGTGGTTTTTTTCTTTCAATTTGTTTATGTGATGTATCACGTTTATTGATTTGCGGATATTGTACCATCCTTGCATCCCTGGAATAAATCCTACTTGGTCATGGTGTATGATCTTTCTGATGTACTGCTGGATCCGATTTGCTAAGATTTTGTTGAGGATTTTGGCATCTATGTTCATGAGGGATATTGGCCTGTAATTCTCTTTCATTGTGTTGTCTTTACCTGGTTTTGGTATTAGGGTGATGCTGGCTTCATAGAATGAGC